TAAGCGATATTCAGTGTTACCTCCATCGTTCTCGTCGAAGTTGTCAAATCTGAACCACCAAGCAAGATTAATGTATTGACCAAAGACCAGGTCATCCAAAATAATTTTCTGGCTGCTGTCGCAATTCATACGATAAAAACTTGACACCGTGAATGTGTCATATATAGTGCCAAAAAATTGGATGTTTGTGTAGCTTGTGTTCAGCTCATTGATTACCTCTGTAGATTTTGAAGGGCCAAGGAACACATCTCCTTTCAAGTAATTGCTATATGGGTATTTGATATCGATTCTATTGGTATCGATTGCGACCTTGTCACTCAGTTTTAGAGAATTTGAAACCTCAATGTTGCTTGTGTATAGATTGCCATTCACATATGCTGTGTCGATTGTTCCAGTGTTGGCCGATATGTCATTCGAGAGTCTGATGTTGCTTCCGTAGATATTGCCATTCACATATGCTGTGTCGATTGTTCCAGTGTTGGCCGATATATCATTCGAGAGTCTGATGTTGCTTCCGTAGATATTGCCTGTAACATAGCAGTCACGCGATATATCGGTGTCTCCATCCTCATTGACTCGGAACAGGTATGAACTGTTTGTTGAGCTGTTGTTCAATATCTTGAAAGTTGCGGTTGTGCTGTTGTCATTGCTGTCTATCACGACCTGAGCGTTCCCTCTTGATTCCAAGGAGACGGTCGTCGCGTCATTGATAACGTGCCCAATCTTTAAAAGATTAGTAGAGGTTGTATCTATCATTAACTCATTCGCGCTATTGGCATATAGTATCATTCGGCCGCTGTTCTCAATCCAATAGTTAGGCAATATCTCCCACTGTCCGGAGTCATTCCAAAAGGGGTAACCGACAGCGGTATAATCAACATCTTGAAGCAGTCCGGACAAGGTGCCTATGCTTTGCTGATATATATAGTTGCTTGTCAATATAGCGTTACTTGCCTCGTACTGTAAGAACAATTCATCGACCTCATTAGATGTGTAATAAGACCTCAGGATGTCATCGACCTCATTAGATGTGTAATAAGACCCCAGGATGTCATTGACCTCATTAGATGTGTAATAAGACCTCAGGATGTCATCGACCTCATTAGATGTGTAATAAGACCCCAGGATGTTATTGACCTCATTAGATGTGTAATAAGACCCCAGGATGTTATTGACTTCGTTTGATGTGTAATAAGACCCCAAGATATCAACGACCTCATTAGATGTGATATAACCATTTGTCACAAGATAATTCGATGTGTCATAACTAGAATAGAAGGTGTTGTTGTTGAAATAAACCCTGTCCAGGAACAGTGTTTCCCCTTTAAGTATTGTTCGATATGGTGCTAGGCCACTATCCGCATTCGAATTAAAAACATATAGGTCTAGTTCATTCACATCTAACTCTTGGCCAAGAGTGAGAACCTCCTCGCCCTGGAATATGATGTTCCTTGTGTCCAGCACCTGTTGTTCTTGGCCATCGATAGTGATGGTCTTATATATATTGCTATATATGTATGCCTCGCCTTCGATGAAATTAAGCTTATTACCGTCTTGTGTCCGTGAGTAAATCCGAATGACCTTATCCTGCTTCATTGTATTGAGAACCTCTCTTTCTAAAACCCCGATGATGATACCGACAGCCATTCGAAGAACATTAATCCAAGACAAGATGAACAGGCCGTCAGCCTTGGAGGTCGAGGTCGCGGATGATATAAGGCCACCTATGAAACCTGTCCCAATAGCAAGGCCGCCCTTTACTATATCGCCGAACCCACTCAATATATCGACGCCATCATTGAGAGTTGAACCGACATCTTGGAGTGCTTGTGTTGTTTGGCCATTGCTTATGTCCTCGACGTTCTGGGTGAGGTTTTCAATATCTTCTATGTTTAAGTTGATGGTATCAATGACATCTTGAAGCAGCACATATGAGCCATCTTGCTTTCTTAGATGAATGTTATATATATCGGTGTTAGAGCTGTAATCCAATATTATGAGGTCCTGATTGCTGCTATACAAGACAGTGTTCGAGGTTCCCTCGATATTGATTAAGTCCAACAGCTGGTTGATAGCGCCCCTGTTGATGGATATATCTGAGTCTATCGTTTGGAATTGAGTATCATATGATGGCAGGTCATTGATAAGGAGATAGTTATTAAGCCTAGCTTCAAGCTGATTGAGTCTATATAGAAGGTCTTCTATTTCATTCTCGACCCTATCCACCCCTAAGCTGGCTACCCAGCTCATATTTATAGTATATATGATATATTCTTAGTCAAAGAATAGCCTAGTGTCTCTTCTATGGACTTGAATCAAGCCCTTGTTCTTCCTTTGTTTTGCTGTGAAGCGCGAGCTCTCATAAAATTGGAGTTCCTCTTCTGTTATGATTTGTTCTTGGAGTAGCTGCTGAACGAGAAACTTGTTTCTGAACACTCGGTCTGTGAAAGTCCTAAGGAAGGCCATATAATCTCGGTACTCACCACGGACTCGGTTGTCACTTGCCATATGTAGTTCTATGGTAAGGAGATATAAAATTCCGGGGGGTGCGCCCCCCCGACGGCGCTAGGTCTTTTGGGTGGTAAGGAGATATAAAATTTAGGCAAGAGATAGAGTATGGTTCGTTGGATGAAGAGGAGGGAGATGATGCCTGAGGGAGATGATGCTATTATCCTCTATTGAATATGTTTTTTCCCTCTTGAAAAAAAAGATAGTAATAAAACAACCAAGGATAAGGGGGGTGAAAGATAAGGGGGGGTTTTGAAAAGTATTTTACAAATCCATCACAAAAGGTCCAAACACTTACCAAATACCCCCCCTTATCCTTGACCCCCCTTATCCTTAGTTCATTCACTACTAAACAATCAAACAATGTTGAAGAAATAAATGACTTAGTAGCTCAAAGGGGTATGTGTGAGCGTTAAAAGGTTAATCGGAAGTTTGCGTCAATCACTTAGTAGCTCAAAGGGGGTGGTCAATTGACCACCCAACTTAGTTGGGTGACTATTTAATAAAAACATCATAGGATGCTCACATGTTAGTAGTTGCGCCTCTTAGAAAGGCCCTTATATTGATTACATACGGTGTGTTATATTTTTTACCCCCTCACCCCACGTGTATATTGTGTTTTATACATTGCTTCTTCGGACATTTAGAGGGCTGACAAATAAGCCCCTATTTGTTCCTTTTGGTCACGAATGGTCACGAAAGCATTTATTCAGACCATTGTAAGAGCTGACAAATAAGCCCCTATTTGTTCATTTTGGTCACGAATGGTCACGAAAGCATTTATTCAGACCATTGTAAGAGCTGACAAATAAGCCCCTATTTGTTCCTTTTGGTCACGAATGGTCACGACGACATCGCACAGCGGCATGAGCTCTCCATCTCCCCGGGCCACATCTATTCATAGAGGTTCTACGGACATATAGCTAGATATTGGGGGAGGTCATCATATGAATGATGTATTCCCGGTAGTGTGCTAGGCTCTGACAAATATGGGGTAAATTTGCTGAACAATTATGACAAATTTGTTCAAGTTGAGCTGTAAAATTCTGAACTTTTACTGACAAATTGTTCAATATTTGTCAAATTGGTCATGAATGGTCACGAAGCAAATACTCGTCCTGGGCGCCCGGCTCTGAGGGCTCGAGGGGCTCGAGGGTGTATGGTGGCCCGATCTGCAGCTGCCATGAGCTGTTGCCCGATGCGCGCTCATCAGCTGCCTGTAGCTCAGCCGTAGCGCTTTCTGGGAGCATGAGAACGACGGAGAGGCCGTGCTGACCAACGGAAAGAAGAAGCCCTTGGAGGACGGGGAGTGAGGGAGAGGGAGAGGTGGGGAAGGGGAGACCTGGCTCGGGGAGGACGGGAGGCAGGACAGAGGGGGCAGGTCGACAGGGAAGGATGGGGGAAGGTTATGATGAGTAGGGACTACGGACACCAAAGCGCCAGTGCCGAAGAACGAGAGGAAGGAGGAGAGGGGGGTAGAGGAGGACATAGCGCTTGATGTGGAGACAGACTCGAGCCGTAAGCTAGAGACCCAGCCAACAAGATGCAACACAGGGAGTCAAACGGAGCCGGAGAGACCAGAGGAAGGAGACGTGCTGAGGGGAGGGCGCAGGGAAGTCGTGAGCGGAAGGGAAGCCCTAGCGATGAAATATAGAGGAGGGAGGCCTGTGACCTGCTGACCGTACCCTAGGACGGATATATGTCAGCAAGGGATTTGCCTGTAAAGTCGAGTGCTGATTCAGAAAACTATGCCCTAACGTACCGATAGCGTTCCTTGTGGTCGACATGGTCACACTGTGACAGAGTCACGTGGCTAGCGTTAAAAAAACAAAAACATCTCCAGTCCAATTGCGCCTGCTGACAAAAAGTTAAATGATCGGTGATCTCTCTCTGAGGCGGTTCTGCGGGCTTCATCGCTCTCCTTGCTATTCAGTCAGTGTTAAACGAGTGAACGGTATTGAGAAAGAATGAATGAATACCCTCACCGAGGACTGGCAGCGATTGAATGCTCTTCTTCTTCTCGCAGTCATCCGAAGTCATGAGATCCCTTGCTGTCACGGTGATGGATTTCTTGAAAGAGGCGTGTAAACCAAGATCCAACATCCCCTGATCCACTCAAGGAAAACTCACGCAAACAAACATTGGCCGGATTGTAATCAAAAAGCAAAGAAGGTTTAATAATGATCAATCGAAAAAAAATCAAAGCTAAGCTCAAGCAAAGCTAAGCTCAAGCAAAGCTAAGCTCAAGCAAAGCTAAGCTCAAGCAAAGCTAAGCTCAAACAAAGCTAAGCTCAAACAAAGCTAAGCTCAAGCAAAGCTAAGCTCAAGCAAAGCTAAGCTCAAACAAAGCTGCATAGAACCTAGGCAACGAAAGTAGGAATTGGCAGCGGATTGAAAACAAACAGACCAAACACGTTCCATCGGCTTTCCCTCCAGAAGTCTTGTATGGTGCCATAAGCGGCCTCTCACAAAGATGCCATCGGTGCCTCCTACTAGAACGACCGAGCGTAGTTGTGCTTCAGCTCCTTCCACTGCTCCGTAGCCTCGTCCTGGGCGCCCGGCTCTGAGGGCTCGAGGGGCTCGAGGGTGTATGGTGGCCCGATCTGCAGCTGCCATGAGCTGTTGCCCGATGCGCGCTCATCAGCTGCCTGTAGCTCAGCCGTAGCGCTTTCTGGGAGCATGAGAACGACGGAGAGGCCGTGCTGACCAACGGAAAGAAGAAGCCCTTGGAGGACGGGGAGTGAGGGAGAGGGAGAGGTGGGGAAGGGGAGACCTGGCTCGGGGAGGACGGGAGGCAGGACAGAGGGGGCAGGTCGACAGGGAAGGATGGGGGAAGGTTATGATGAGTAGGGACTACGGACACCAAAGCGCCAGTGCCGAAGAACGAGAGGAAGGAGGAGAGGGGGGTAGAGGAGGACATAGCGCTTGATGTGGAGACAGACTCGAGCCGTAAGCTAGAGACCCAGCCAACAAGATGCAACACAGGGAGTCAAACGGAGCCGGAGAGACCAGAGGAAGGAGACGTGCTGAGGGGAGGGCGCAGGGAAGTCGTGAGCGGAAGGGAAGCCCTAGCGATGAAATATAGAGGAGGGAGGCCTGTGACCTGCTGACCGTACCCTAGGACGGATATATGTCAGCAAGGGATTTGCCTGTAAAGTCGTAGAAGTAAAAATGTGAATGAGATCTAATTCTATAACCGCTGATGCTGTCAGAGTCACGTGACTAGCGATTGTCATGCGGCCAGCTGACCGTTGCACGGGGCTCGGATTGAGATATGGTTACAACCTGCAACTGTCAACTTCAGAGACTATGAGTTGACGCTGAGTGACTCTCACTGCAGTGGCCGCTGCCTGGACAACGGCCACGGCCCCGGAGTAACTAGTGATCCCGCCGTGCCCGGCGGGGCGGCGGTCGGCACTCAGTGGGCGCCGCGGCCCGGGCCCGGGCCGGCGCGCCGGGCGGCTCGTTTCATACTGTGACGGGCCCGCCCCGCCAATCATTGTACAATTTCGGTCGCGGGCTTAGAGGACAGCAATGTATTGTTAGGGAACCGCCTATGTCGTCACAAATATGTGTCGCATGTAATAAATCGTTTCTTTCCGGGAGGCTGAGAGCAAGAGGGATGAAGCGAGATGAGAGGGAAAGAGGAAGGACAGGAGGGGAAATATGTCGTTCTGAATGTTTGATGTTGCAGGGTTGAGGAACACCTGAGTCTTTGCTATCGATCAGAATGTTGTCGTCCATCTACAGGAGATTGGCTCCCCCCTTCCTTTGCTTTGCTGCAGTCATGCAATGCTCCTATGCATGGTCGCCAACCCCAAGCACGCATGGCATGCAGCACAAACGCTTCATGCCGTTCGGATCCGAACAAGCTTCGTGCAGTTGGGGGAAAAGGAGCTATCGAGCTCCTTTCAGAATGACGAGCAATGATCAGGGTCCATCGAGTATTGAAGCATGGGAGGCTGAATATCAGGCGCTGCAAGCTCGCAAGGGTGTTGTTCGTTCACAGCCGCAACAAGATGGGGGGTTCTTTGGCAAGATTGGGCAGGCCTTCACGCAGGTTTTGGTGAGAGCAACGGTTGGTGGCTTCTCTCGTCGTGACTTGAGGCGTCTTCCAGGAACCGAAATCCGATCCCATCATCATGGCAAACCTGGAAGCTTCTGAGGCGAAGAAGGGACCGCGCCAGCTAGATGCTCCTCCTGTCGATGGGTGAGCGAGATAGATGCTGTTGCCGCTTATCATTGACTGTGTGGACAGTTTCCGGGTGGTGAGGGAATATCAGCATGTGAAGGAGAGCTTTACGCAGGGCGTTGAGTGGGTGCACGGGGAGAAGGTCTGGTACGAAGGAAGCGGAGGCCCGAGTTTCTCGCACGGAACTAGGATTTTCAAGATGGACCTTGAGACCGGCAAGGTGCTGCAGTACAGGTCTCTTCCTACAAGACACTTCGGGGAAGGCATCACCGTGCTGGGCAACAAGCTGTACCAGCTCACCTGGCGGTCCAACGTTGGCTTTGTATACGACAAGGACACTTTGGAGCTCCTGGATGACTTCCATTACGACCACGAGGGCTGGGGCCTGACTAACAACGGAAAGGAGCTCATAATGTCGGATGGATCGGCCACTCTCTACTTCCACGACGCTGAGACGTTGAAGGAGACGCGCAAGATGACGGTCCGATACCTGGCTAAGCGATCGGGCGAGATGACCCCGCTCCGACGATTAAACGACCTGCAGTGGGTGAAGGGGAAAGTCTTCTCAAACATCTGGGAGGCAGACAGAATTGCAGTGATCAACCCTGACACAGGTGCTTGCTCTGCTACCATCCCAATCAAACCCCGTGACCTGTCTCGATCTGCACTATCTCTGCTAACCATTCTTGTGCTATGCGACCCTATTTTTCCGATCAAGTTATGTGTCCCGTACCTGTTTATGCAGACTTACGTATCCTTGTTAAGTCGCTTGCCACCGATCTGTGTTATCTCTATCACTTATGCTTGGAAGCGTTAGAGTTGTGACGGAAGTTTGATAAGGTATCGTGGAGAGGTTCATAGACTTGAAGGGGATGCTGGACGAGAGCGACCCTTGGATTCAGGTTAGGATGCGCCTCCTCCGTGGCTGAGCTTTACTGACTTGCGAGAGCAGAAGTGGACTAGATCAGATCGTTGTCTCAACGGCATCGCATATGACGAGGTCACTTTGAGCATCTCCATAGAGCCGGATCATAGAGCCGGGTCTGACTTTTGCATACATAAGGTGGAGGATCGTTTGTTCGTGACCGGAAAAATGTGGACCAAGGTATGGCATCTACAACCCACTTATCAGTCGATGAGATGACGGGCTCTATAGATCTACGAGATTGAGGTGGTCGAGGGTGCAGGGGACAAGGAGGTGAGGGATCTTGCTGTGACCTTGAAAGTTACAGATAACACCCCTGTCCAGGAAATGGATAAGAAAGCGCTTCCTAAGGACTATTACAACCCTGCTGGGTCTTTCGACCCGCTAGGTATGTCTCGCTGAATAAATGGAAGCGTTGAAGAAGACAATGGTCAATGGTCATGGATTCATTGCAAGTGTTTCATTAAGATGTTTGTCAACTATCTTTTAAGAATAATGTAAAAGAAAAATAATGATGCGTCGCTCGTTGTGCCTTCAAGTCATCTCCAAGTGATGATAAATCCTCCAAAGTGAGTTCAAGACATACAAATCAAAACACCAGCGTTGGGCTCGATTCAGACTCTTGCTCTGCTGTGTTTTCTAGAGATCTGAGATCTTTCGAGAGCATGTCACCTCGATTCTTGGCATTCGATTCGATCATATCAACCAGTGCTCGGATATCAGCAAACATTTTCGAGATTTCTTCCTATCTCAGCCGTCACCTTCACTCTCCTCTCTCTTCTTGCCTCTCCAGCTCCTGGCCTACTCTCCGACTCGCATAATCCCCCCGATATAGGATGACAGCTTTTTCACTCAATGTTTTTTAAATACCAGGCCCCGGCGGCGGGGCCCGGAGCCCGGGCCGGGCCGGCGGTCACCGGGTGGGCCCAAGACTGAGAGTCGGTACAGTCCGCTGACGCCGGGGGGCGGGCCGGGACCTACTAGTCTAGTGAGCCTGCCTCATCGCAGCCGTCAGTCCGTCAACTTCGGGACCGTACTACGGTACGGCACTGCATGCCGGGGGGGAGCAGCAAACGTGGACGGAGCAGCAGCATGGCAGCAGCGGCAGAAGTCACAGGAGGAGGGGGGGGAGAGCCAAATAACCTCTCGATGAGCACAAGCCGGGACGGTCAAGCTAGCATGCTGCAGCAGCTGTTTGCTGAGGGGCTCGACATGTATGTGCTCGATGTGCTTTCAATGATGTGAGATGCTGTACTTGTTGTAGGTACAAGCGGAAGAAGTTTGACCAAGCGGAGGAGAAGTGGAGGAAAGCGCTGGAGATAGATCAGGTGAGGCGAGCTGGTTGTCTTGGCCCTGAAGAGCCCAGCATGATCCGATGCTTTCGTTTGCGGCAGAACGATGTGCAAACGCTGCTGCACTACTCAGTGATGGTCAGAGATCACTTTCAGGACAAGGAGAGAGCAGATCAGCTCATGAGACTCGCGCTGTATCTTCCCTCGGCTTCCTCTCCTTCCATGACTTGCTTGTGCAGGGGAGAAAGTCAGCCGTACGTTTCAGTGGGTTTGCGACAGCCTGCGAACAAAGACGAAGTGGGAATGAAGGTGTGGAGTGAGGCCGTTCTGACTGTGCTTGCAGCTACATCGCCAGCCGAGGCTTGTGCCGCAGAAGAAAGATATGAAGAAGATGTTGTTCTTCCGCCAGAGCTTGCGAAGCAAAGTTGAGTTTCATGTAACATGTGCCGCCTGTTCACCCGCAGGGCTCTGATAGTTTCTGCAGAGCCTCAAGTTCATGAAGATGCAGCTGAAGGACGTGTGGGTGAGAGGAGCGAGAGTGTGACCTGTCTCTGATGTAGGAGCAGGACGAGAATGATGAGAGCCTCGACATGGAGCACCGATGACAACACTTGATGTTTGATAATGTACAGAATAAATCACTTTCGCCCTCTCCCTTCCCGCCGTGTGAAACCTACTTGGATGGCAGAAAGCTGGTCCTAGGACGCGACTCCTGCTCCTCGACCTTCTCCTGCTCTTCCGCATCGTCAAAGAACAGCAGCTCGTCAGGCTCCTCCTACAGCACAGTCAGGGAGCGACTCAGCTGCGGTTCAAGGACCTGGAAGTGTACGTACACGTGACCTCTCTCCCGGCTCACGATGTGCCTGTCATGCGTGAAGAGAATGCTCTGCCATGAGTCCTCCCCTGCTGCTGTCGCCCTCCTCAAGTGACCCTTGTACACCAAAGTCTGCAGCGGGGCTCAGGAGGTGGGAGGCACAGTAGTGGAGGACGGGAGGGCAGACAAGGAGGAGAGGAGAGATGCGGAGGGGAGGAGAGAGAAGGAGGGGAAGACAGGGGAGATAGTCGAGTGAAGCAAACTTACATCGTCGATGCTGAGGAGGAACTCTTTAACGCCTCGCCCGACCGTCTGCAGCCTCACGTTAGCAGAAGGACCTGAGACTTTGAAAGAAGACCTTGCGGTAGTTCCATATCTTGATGAGGGAGAGAGTGATCGGCTCGTCGAACATGAAGAAGATGTTGTTCGTTTCTCCCCTCCTACACGCCTCCTTCACACGCCTGCCCTCCCTGTTTCTTTCACGTCACCTGAAGGGAGCAAGCCACATATGCGATTCGTCATTGGTGTCGTTAACTCCGTCGATGATCTAAAACAAGTGAGGAGCAGGACGAGCGGGTGGTGGTGGATGAGGTGGAGGAGGAGGAGGTGGTGGTGGTGGTGGAGCAGAAGCAGAAGCAGGAGCAGGAGCAGGAAAACCTTCTCTGCCGTGCGAGGGTCCCCCACACAGTCTGGCAGCTCAGCGATGGAAGTGACTCCTTCAGTGCAGACAACCTTGAGGTTCCTGGGGTGAACCTGGTGGGCAGCAGTTTCAGCTTGAAGAGTCTTTGACAACATGAGAAACTCACGGGGACGAGGTTGTCAAACTGATCGTATAGCTGTATACCGTTAAGGCCGATGTAGAATCGATCGTCCCATGTAGAGATGAGGGAGAACTGGTGTCAAGGTAAGCAAACTCGCTCTGAGAGGAGGAGGGACACCTTGAAAATGAAGCCTGACGGCAGCGTCGGCGGTTCGTATTCTTGCTGCAGGGATCACCTCTGAGTTGGAAAGCAAGCTTCCGCACAAACGGAGGTAGTGAAACGACATGGAGAGTATCGCAGGAAGAGAGCAACAAAACAGGACGGGTCTTGAGGAGGAGAGCAGGGAAGAAGAGCAAAGCAAGCAAGAAGGGTAGAAGAAAGGAGAGCAGAGGAAAGGAGTCCAGAGGGAGTAAGGAGGGCAGAAGAAGGAAAGAAGGAGGAATGGAGGACGAGTCTGCAGGGTCTTCACACGTCTTACCATCACGTAGCCTTCTGGCGTTATGATCGAGCTGCTTCCTCGGAAAATCTGCGGGGTTCCGATCCGCTCCCCGAGGGATGTAAGGCAAATCTTCTGCGAGAAGTCGATGCTGATGCGAGTTGGCCCAGGAGCCTGCGGGGAGGAAGGTGAGGGACCTGACGGAGATTTCCGGTTGGAGCCCCTTACCTTCCTGACCAGGTGCCCAGCAGGGGGAGACAGCGACCTGTTGTCCAGCACGATCGACATCCTCTTGACGCCTGCGTCCCAGGGAGATGAGGAGACTGTGTGACAAGGAAGGGCATGCGAAGGTAGAGGTCTGGAGAGGGGCAGCGAGGATGAGGAGGAGGAGGATGAGGAGGAGGAGGAGGAAGAGAAAGAGAGGCGCAGGAGGAGGAGGAGGAAGAGGAGGAGGAGAAGTCAGGCGTCACCTCTATACGTGTTCTCGATACTCCCGTTGTAGTTCCACACACAGAAATGCTTGAGGAGGCGAGGCTCACCCATGTCGATGTTGATACGATACTTGACGTAGGGGTAGTGGGGAACAACCCACATCTCCTCCTCGCCCTTGAGCTCGTGCGGGCCCATGAAGAGGGAGGCGGCATACGTCGAGTCTGGCAGGAAGGTGACGAGGAGCAGAGGGGAGGAAGCGAAACGGACCGAGGCAAGCAGCTTCATGGCCACCATCAGCTCCCTCGCACGTCACTAGGATCATGGATGCGTTAACCTGCATGCTGTAAGAACGAGCTCGCTGATGACCAGGGCAATGATTTTCCAAGCTCACCCTCAGCTTGCTGTCATCCTGCAAGATGATGTCTAGACCTGCTGACAGCGTCAGTTCCACCCGTCAAGGCACCACAAAGTTTGACCGCAGAGGCCCAAAGTCTCCGAGTCTCCCCAGTTGGAGTGCAGCACGAGCGTCAAATTCTGCAGAGACAGAGCTCAACACGACTTCTTCCTCCTCCCTCCTCCCTCAGCTCACCCTGCCGCTGATCGTCGTCGGGCTGGAGGGCAGCAGGTCGCTGGAGAAGGAAGAAGGGAACGAGGAGGAGTTTCCCTGCAGCTTCCCCATCTCCACCATCCCCGTCATCGGCCGCCCATCCAGACCCAACGGCCTTCGGTCCATGCGCATGAAGGGATCGGATCCATCCTGCGCAATCCTGGAGGGGATGGGAGGAGTGACGATCATCTCCTCCTCCTCGATGTCTCCCGACTCGGTCACAACGACCTGCACCAGATCAGCTGGGCCCCAGTAGGGCACCTGCCAACCGACCTGAGGAGGAAGGCGCTTGGTCGGGCCAGAGATCTCGACGCTCTCCGTCTCACTCGGCAGGACCTGCTCCTTCATGCCGTGCCCCTGCTCCTGTTTTGCCTCATTCTTGCGCCCACTTGCCGTCTTCGGACGCTCCAAGTCTTTCAGGTTGCTCTCCTCGACATGCACCTGTCCCCCCGTCACTCCTCCCTCCCCGCCCACCCCCAACCCATGTGCTCCTGCTGCTCCTCCTCTTCCTCCGCAGCCCATCTCACCCCCCCTGCTCCTGCTCCTGCTCCTGCTCCTTCATCTACTTGTCCTGATTCCCACTCCCCCTCCCCCTCCTTGTCTGGCTCACCTCAGTCGTCTGGGGGTTCATGTTGATGTCGTTGGCGTCGTGCTGTTCGATAGCGCAGAGAACGCTCTCGTCCATGGTGAAGAGAATATTCTCCGCGTTCTCCTCCGACCCCTGGGATACAAAACTCTCAGTCGCCCGGGGGCCGGGGAGGGGATGCGTACCCGGAGGCAGCCAGGAGCTTTCTGTATCTCCCCCTTGAAGATGGGGTTCTCGTCCAGGTGGATCTCGACGTATCTCGCCCCGCGGTAGGAGTGGATACGACTCTTGTTGTAGTTCCACACGCGGATCATGGAGACTACGAAGGAGCAGCTCAGGTCGATGAAGATGTAGTGATGGCGGCCGGCGGTGAAGGGGGCCAGCCAAACATGCATGTCGTCGCACGTCCTGTTGACCCCGTCGATGAGTTTGTCCACCGTCCGCGGATCATCGCCATATCCCGGCATGATGTTGATGTCGGGCGGGTCTGCTGAGATCGAGCTGGGGTCGATCTTGACGGGGTTTCCGGCCTTGTCGAAGATCTCGATGCCGGACAGCCCGACGTAGTGGACGTCGCCCCAAGTACTGAGGATGTCAAACTTCAGGTGGCGCCCGCTTGGGAGCAGAGGGATGTGGAAGGGAGAGGGGTCAGCCCTGAAGCACAGCTTCTCCTTGAAGCCGTGGGAGGAGGCGGTCTGCCTCGATGGCGATAGCAGGTTCTCCCCATCCTCCTCGGTCCTGCCTTCTACCGGAGCACTTCCCAGTCTGTTGGTCAAGTCCAGACGGCTCTTGAGGTTCAGGTCTGACGTAAAGTTGCTATCCCCTGCACAGACGCATCACGTTCGATCTTCATTCCATCTCCCAACTACCTTTGCGCCTCGTCTTGGCGTTTGTACTTCTCAGCGCCGATGGAGCTATGCGCCCTGCATGACGGTTGGCAAAGAAGGTCAGAGAGTCCCACGAGTCCTGGACCTGCTCACAAACGTCAAGGGAGACGAAGGAGATGGTACAAGGCCAACAGAGTTACCATGTCTCTTTGCCGCATCTTAGCTTCAGAGTCAGAAGTCCAGTTCTGAGTTCGTCGGGCACTTCTATTTACATCTTTCTGCGTAGTCTTGGCGCTTCTCTTGCTCCGATACACACTCGCTGGGTTGTACTGTGTTGAAGAGCTCTTGCCGGAATGTTTAGCGTTGACATCGTCAGAGAATCTGATTGTTTGCTTCGAGACCCCTTGCCGGTTGCTCCTGAATTCCTCCAACGCGTCATGGTCGGAATGCTTGAACGCTGTACTTCTGCTTGCTGCACCGCCTTCACCATACTGCCCTCTGTGCGACTTGACCTCTCCTCCTTTCTCTGCAGGAGACGAGTCAAGCTCCCACACAGTTGAGCCTCGGGTACCTTTGTCGCTGAGCCAGACAGGCAAGGCTCGGTGATTTCTTACTCCGATCTTGAGCTCTGAGAGCGAGTCGAGCTCCTCGTCGCCCTCATCCTGCTGGTCCTGCGCCCTGCTCATGTCTACTTCTCTCCCAGTGGGCTTGCGCGCATGCCGATGAGACTGTCAAGGTTTTAGACTACGAGGGCTGCAGGGTAGTTCTGACCTTCACTCAAACCAATGTCATCTTGGGATCTTTCATCCTGATAGCGAAAGTCAGAAACGAACGATCTTAGTTGGCTCCCTCTCCCTACATCCTCTCAGGGTCTACAGGGCCTAAGAGGAACCTGGCTCTACCTTTCATCACTACCCCATCTCTCCCACCCCTACCATCATCTCACTTCTTGTCCTATCTTCTCGTGTTCCTGTTGCAAGGTCCCACGATCCCTGGTCCTTCTTGTCTCTTCCTGACTTCTTCCTCCTCTCCTCTTCTCTCTCCTCTCCTCCTCCCTCCCTTTCTTGCCCCTCCTCTTCATCGGTCTCCGCGCATTGAGCGCTTTCGAAAAACAACCCCCCCCCCCACCCCTGTCCTATATTTGAACACCCACCCTCACATTTCATCTGGAACATCAGCCCGCCTCAGAATGGTCCGATGCGATCGGCCGCAATGCGCCCTGTGATGAAGGGGAGGAAAAGAGAGGAGGAGAGGAGGGTCATGCGGTAAGAGACAGAAGATCATGACTGATCTCGCAGCGGTCTGCTGCCATAGCTGATGGAGACGGATGTCTCCTGCGATCATGAGGAGCGGCATGTGGAGCCATCGCCTGGCCCTGATCTGCATAGTCTCCTTGCATCTATGCATCAACGTGGAGAACTCATCGCTCCTGACGTATCAGCATGTCGGACACGTATCTTGCTTTCCTCTGACCTCCTTCCTCTCAGACCAAGTGCTCGCACGAACACGGGCAGGATATGCAGGAGCCCTGGTGGGCACATGTTGGGGATGCAGCCAGGTAACTCAACACAACATCGGCGCATTCATGACTTTCGCGGCAGATCCATCCTATCCTCTGCTCAGACTTCGAGGAGGATACTTGGACTCAGATTCAGAGTTCAAAATAAACGTGCCGGCGCGGCCGATCGAGCTTTACGACGACGACGACCCCTACTATTTCAACGTCACACAAGGTTTGATTTCGTCGTCGGACATGCAGTCTCAACAAGTGTCGCAGTTAGTGTCATGGAGGAAGTGAGGAAATCATTGGACCCGGATGTCTACCCTCCTGAGCCTGTATGCGTCTCTTCTCCTCTTCTTCCTCTCTCGTCCGGGGCTCCTCAGGCTCTATGCCCTTTGCAGGTTCAATATGGGGAGGATGGAGATATGATTTATCCCGAGCCTATGTCGCTAGAAACCTTCGGCAGAATCAAGTGAGACAGATCTCCCCTTGCGCATACCATCTATCCTCCACATACTCTTTCATTTCCCTTCATATACCTCTCTCACTTTCCGATCCTCTTACATTTCATATGCCTCTTTCATTTCACATACCTCTTCATTCCGTGTATTGCTTTCCCTCCCCCATGTCTCTTTTCTCCTGCATGTTGCTAAGGCTGTTCAACGACAGGCGTGTGCTTGATGAGGAGACTGGAAGGCTGTTGACGTCGAGAGAGACCGAGAAGCGAGGACTATCGTGAGTGAATAAGACAGGCAGGCAGGCAGGCAGGCAGGCAGGCAGGCAGACCGAACCAGAGAGAGGAGAAGGGTTATGGGAGTGTTGAGGGAGAGAGAAAGAGAGCTGCTGCACTGCTGCAAGAGAGTTGCTGCTGAATCACTTGCTGTCCAGAATCTTCAAGAGGAAGCCGAAAGGAAAGAACAGCCTCGCTAAACGATGCGCATGCGGAAACAAGGTACGTCACTTCCAACTGCAACCGGGCATGGCGGCTGCTGGGAAAGGATCGAGCAGATCAAACCTGATAAGACGCATCAGACGCCTTGTCTGGGCAATGTGGTGATCACAAGAGATGAGAACAACAAGGTAGGAGAGGTAGGATGCTTCTGGCAAGTGACTCTTGTAACCAGCTGCATTATCACACGATCCCGAGGAAAATGGTCGGACCTGCTCACCCGTGGGAGTGTCAACAGCCTGCCCAGTAATGCATGAGCTGAGGAGGAGGAGGAGGAAGAAGAGGAGGCTGGGGGAATGAGGAGGAAGAAGGGGACGGGTGGAAGAGGAGGACGAGGACGGGAAGGTTGAAGAAGACAACGACGATAGAGGAGAGCGAGAGAGAGCGAGAGAGAGAGAGAGGAGGAGGAGGAGGAGGGCAAAGGGTGCGAGGAAATCGTGAGTCTGATTGAGTCCAATAGATACATGATTACTCCAAGTACCGTCAACGTGTCGGAGATCATATCTTCAACAAGGTGAAGGTACGGGTGGTGTTTGCGCGGTTTGAAAGAGGTTTCCACAGCCCCTTCCATCTCAGCAGACTATCTCTGATGACCGGAAAGCCGTTGGAAGGTCTGTAGGGCGGGACAGGAGGAGGAGGAGGGTGGGAGGATTCAAAGATGGGGTGCATGCAAGGAGGGAGAGGATGCGGAAGGGGCAATTGTAGGCAAGACAAGAGAATTAGAAAATGTGAAAGGCAGGGGAAAAGGACAGCGAAGGGGAGAGGAGGGGAATGGAGAGGAGGGGAATGGAGAGGAGAGGAGAGGAGAGGAGAGGAGAGGAGAGGAAGGGAAGGGAAGGGAAGGAAGAGGAGAGGAGAGGAGGTGAGGGAAGGAGTGAGCTCTGACTTCGTGTGGAAGAACTGAGGGAGTTGCACGACGAGAAGCGATGGATGCAGAAAGTCAACGCGCCTTGTTCGTTCTGCAAGAGGTGAGGAAAAGTCACTGGATGATGGCGAGGCTGACACTCAAACCCCTAGCACTCATCATAAATACTGGGATTGCCCTCAAATAAAGGTGAGCGCTGTAGTTTAAACCATATTCCTCTTCCTCTCCCTCTCCCTCTCCCTCTCCCTCTCCCTCTCCCTCCCCCTCCCCCTCCCCCTCTTCCTCTTCCTCTCCCTCTCCCTCCCCCTCTCCCTCCCCCTCTCCCTCTCCTTCTCCCTCTCCCTCTCCCTCTTCCTCTCCCTCTCCCTCTTCCTCTTCCTCTTCCTCCTCCTTTTCCTCTTCCTCCTCCTTTTCCTCTTCCTCCTCCTTTTCCACCTCCACCCGCACCACACCAGTATCTCCTTCTGATCCTTATCATTCATCGCCTCTCATCTCCTCTGCTCCCTTCTCAGCCGCCTCCTTGCTATCGTTTCTTGGTCGCCCATTGAACTCAATACAGGAGGATTCCTCTGAGACTGTCAAGGAGATGCTGCTGGTGGGCCCGCACAGTCTTTCTCTTACAATCAACCCTCCTCACTTTTCATCACCTGACTCCATGATAGGTGCGCCATGAGATGGAAGAGGACCTGAAGCGAGCCGACGTGATTGTAAGAAACCTCTGCATCATCGACCACCACACTCATGGTTTTTGACATCTCCGAGATACTCACATCGTTTTCTCCTTCTTCCTTTCTCCTGTCGAACCGTCCTTTATTCTCTTTTCATTATCCGCCTCCTCCCTTTTTCTCATCGTACGCCCGTTCCCCTTTCCTCCGTCCTCCTTTCCTCGATCCAGCCAAACCATTCCTCCTCCACAACTTCCTCCACCACTTCGTCCCCTCCCTCTTCTCCACTTTCGCACTCTCCGCTCCTGTGCATGACATGTTGGGTGCAGGGGATGGACGAGAAGACAAGGGAGAAGAAAAGAATCCAGCTCAAGGAGCTGACACAGAGAATCGATCAGAACATTCTCTACGCTCCTTTCACTATCAAAGTCGGAAACAAGAACTACACCTTCAACCAGCCGGGAGCAGCCACAGGACTTGTAACTTACCCCTCCTACTCTCTCTCTCTCTCTCTCTCTCGGTTCCCTCCTCCCTGACTTCCATTCTCCTTACACCTTCCCTCCTGTTCTATCCCTACTCCACTCACTCACTCACTCACTCACTCACTCTCTCTCTCTCTCCCCCTCCCCTCTTTTGCACCCTCTTCCTCTGAATTTTCGCTCCGCTCATTCCCTCTCCACTCCCTGCGTTCCCTTCTTTTTCTCCGCCTCCACACACCCCTTCCTCTCCTGCTTCCCCTCCTATTTCATTGCTCTATTTTCTCTCGTGCATAACTCCTCTCCTCGTTCCCATCATCTCTTCTCTTCTCCTTCTCTTCTCCTCTCTCACACATCTTTTTCCTCACGTTTTCTTACTCAGGGTGAATTTGATGAACACGATTACGACTTGGCGGTTGATAAACTGCCGGCACCGCCCGAGGGAGATTTTATTCGCGTTCCAGGCAAGTGATGAGGAGACGAGGTTGGGGAGAAGAAGGGAACAGAGGAAGGAGGAGAGGTGGAGATAAAAGGGGACGAGGAGGAAGAGAGAGCTGGGTATGAAACTTTGACGCGAGTCCTTCAGATGACTTCGAAGAGGTAGAGCATGCTGTTCGGCAAGCCAGGAACGGTCAGACTATCCTCCTCGATCCTGGCCTCCACTTTTGGTACGGCAAGACGTTCGTTCACGCTACCAGCTCGAAGATCCCGATGCTGTGGGAGGACGAGCATCGAACTGTCAACGTGGGACCTCTCAGCATGCAGGACGGGATGGAGGAGCAAAATGGAGTCATCTATGAGATCCAATCGTTCACGGACGAGAACGACAACCAAACGACTAGGGCGCACAATATCACGCTGAGGAGAGACGTGTTTGCGCATGGGATGTGGTTCCTTTGCGAAGAGACTTCCGGGCTCTTCCACCACCTCACTTGCTACACTCGAGCTGGAAGCTATCCGGGGATGCATTGCGGTGATTTGAATGTGGGGAGAGGAGGAGAGGGTGAAGCAAGGGAAGGGAGAGGAGCGAGGGAGAGGGAGAACGAGAAGGGAGGGGTAGAGGAGAGAGAAGAGAGAAGAGAGGGGAAAGGAGCTGTGGAGAGCAGGGGGAGAGGGGAGGGAGGGAAGAGAAATAGAGAAATAGGGAGGTAGAGAGGAGAGGAGAGGAGAGGAGAGGGGAGGGGAGGGGAGGGGAGGGGAAGTAGGGCAAACAAGGGAGGAAACGAAAATTGACCAGGAGAGGGAAGAGTCGAATTCAGAACTCTGACTGAGGAGCAGACCTGAAACCTTCTGTCCAAAACCAGGAGCCAGTTGAAGTCGGGGAGAGGTTTCGACCTCGAACCCTGACGGAGGACTGTTTCCTGATCATGGGGAGCGGATGGAAGTTCGTCTCCTGCGACATCTTTTGCCTCGACGGAGTTGCCGTTTACGCCGTCGATGTGAGAGTCTTAGAGAGGAGGAGGAAGGAAGGGACGAGTTCGAGGAAAGAGAAGAGCGGGGTGGAGGGGGAGATGATCTGGAAATGGGTGACGGGTATTTGATGGAAACAAGGGGTAGAAGGGAAGTGGGGGGAGAGGAGAACGAGGAGGTGATGGGTCTGATGAGGAGCATGATGCTGTCTGTTCTATCAGGTTAGCAACTCCTCCTTCATCGACTGCGCCATCGGCGGTCCCGTCTACCTCGACCAGCCGGACAACGAGTGGGATCGGCTGGAGCTCGCGTACATGGGTGTGAGGATGGAGGGGGCCGCCATAGCGACTTTGGTCAGGTGTGTCATACAGAAGACGCAGATCTACGGTCTCAAGGTCGACGAGTGTAACGAAGTTGTGGTCCTCGACTCCGTCTTCAACAGCAACGGGTGCATGGGTGGCGCTGCCGTCGCCATGTCCCGCTGCGCGGAATGCTCCTTCTCCTCCTGCTACTTCAACGAGAGCGTGTCGCACTCTCCCCTGTGGCGGCACACGGCAGCGTTCGAGACCAAGATCACAGCTCAGGGGGGAGCTCGGCTGCAGCTGAGAAACAGCACGGTAGTCGGGAGAAAGTGGCTGACGTACTACAGGCCCAAGTTCTTGGAGGAGGAGAACAACGTCTACCTCCCCGGCAAGCGCTTCTTCAACAACACCTGCCGGCCCGGATGGGAACAGGCGCGCGAGGCAAACATCGAAGACCCCGTGATGGTGTCCGGGGATAGCTACCACGAGATCTGGTGGCCGAGAAAGATGCTGCACAAGGCTGGGTTCCAGGACGGAGACTACCCGGAGGACGGGTACGGCAACGTGAGGGGACACACTGAGCTCGATATCTTCGAAGACGACCTGGAGGAGGTGGAGATTATGCTGAACAGGAGCAAGGAGATCATCCTGCAGGACTGGGGATGGGAAGGGACGATGGAGGACGCGTTGGATACCTCTTCCCCGCGAGCATTGAATGAGGGGAAGTGGCTGTGGAGGGAGGAGCTCGAGCCGCAGAATTACAAAAAGGAGATGTCCAACCTAAGGAAGAGGAAGAAGATGATGGCGGAGAGAAGAGGGCCTGTCGTGTCTCGGTTCTCTCAGCTCATGAACTCCTCCTCCTCCTCGCAAACCATACGCATCATCAGATCCATCGTCCGCGAGTCCCACCAGGGGGACCTGGCCAGCGAGTACTGGCTGAAGAAGAAGCTGCAGGAGGAGCAGGACGAGGAGGTCAGAGCAGAACTCCAGCAGGCATTGAGCAACATCTCAGTAGGGGAAGATGATTTGCGCGAGCTCATCGGGCAGTACCGAGGGTGTCAAATCGATGAAAAGGGGGTACCGACCACCAACATCAAGGTGGGAAGGTACCACATCATGCCTGACCTCATCCCCAGCTACGTCAGAGCTGCTGTGTGGCCGTTCTTTCCCATCTACCCTCAGCTCCAGGGGGCGCTGAAAGAGAAGTCGGCAGCGTCCACGTACACCGACCCTGCCGCCTCCCTCCTCGCAGTGCAAGCTGAGAACGTCAGCCAGCCGGGGGATGACAGAATGGCGGACGAGGAAGAGGAGGAGAAGGAGATGGGGATAGAAAAGCGTGAAGAGGAGGACGGTACGCTTCAGTTGGTGGACCAGGAGAGGTGGATGAAAGCGCCTTGGTTCGAGGGGGTCAAGTTCGAGAACGGCAAGATCGCCCCCCTCGAGCTCGACCTCAGCAACGAGACGCAGCTCATGCAGCTCCCCTGCGAGGACAGGATCCAGCTAGCCCAGCTGGGCTACGTGCCCTTCCCTACCCTGGACGACATGGCGGAGGAGGAGAGGAACAGGACGGTCGACGAGTCCTTCCGGATGTTCTCTGCCCCGGAGTGGAACCAGATTATCATCCCCGCCCTGTGGGACTACGCGCACAAGATGCGGGTGCCAATCCCCAACGGCACCGAGATCAAAGCGGAGAGGAGGAGGCTGACCAAGGAGCTGGAGCTGACCAAGAAGTACTTCGAGGCTCTAGAGCTCTCCGTCGCGCTCCACCTCGAAGAGGAAGAGTGGAAGAGCCTATACCCACAGCTGGACCCGAACAAGCTCTTCGACCCCCCCAGCGACCGCAAACTTGAGTCCGTCTACGACCGGATCTGCGAGCTGAGAGCGTACCTGACGATGGCGGTGAACGACGAGAAGTATGCTCTGATGATGGCGCTCTACCCGCTCGCCAAGGAGGTCGAGGTTGCGTTCAAGACGCGCGACCGGGCCAAGATAGACGAGCTGGCTGCCCGGCACAAGAACTACGACCTGGATGCGAAGATAGCTGACGGCCTCATGGAGTTTCCCTACTCCCTCAGCCCCGACGGGAACTTTGTGATAGTGCAGAAGAGACTGAAGAAGCAGTTTGACCTGCTGCGAAGGATGGAGCCTGGAGAGTCAAGAGGAGCAGGAAGGAGGAAGGGAAGGGAGGGCGAAGTAGGAGACGAGGAAGGACGGGCAGGCGAGGAGGGAGGTATGGACGATGAGGCGTAAGGGGAGGCGGATCAAGGTAAAATGCAGGAAGAGGGAGGGGGAGGAGGAGAAGTGTAATTCGATGTTTAAAATTGACAAGTTTCAATCAAGAGCATGGAAGGAGGAAAGAAAAAAGTCAAACACATCGTCATGAAAGCTCCTCCACACGCACAGTAGCCGATCAGACTCCTGAAATCCCGACATTCAAGTCTGCGTTGAACCCTGCGATCTTCCTCCTCTTCCAAGGTTTCCTCTCGATCTCCTTGAGCTCCTGCTTGCGCTTGTTCCTGGAGGGAAGAAAAGAGCAGGATGAGCGAGAGGCAGAGGTGGGGGAGGAGCGATGAACGATGGAGGAGCAAGTGGAAGAGACAGAGAGAAGGGGACAGGACAGGATGAAAGTTGGGGGAATGGAGGCCGAAAGAAAGGTGAATTGTAGACCAGGATGCTGAGCAAGCAGGAGCAGGAGCAGGAGCAGGAGCAGGAGCAGGAGCAGGAGCAGGAGCAGGAGCAGGAGCAGGAGCAGGAGCAGGAGCAGGAGCAGGAGCAGGAGCAGGAGCAGGAGGAAGTGGAAGGTTCTCACTCTATCTCTCGGCTCTGATGTTGATGATACTGAGTGACTTTGATCTTCTTCGGCTGCCTCCAAGTTCAGGAGCGACAAGAGCAACAGGAGGGAAGGAAGAGGAGGAGGAGGAGGAGACGGGGGGAAGACGTGCGGAGGAAGGAGGACGGGACAGCACCTGCTCACGGAGAGCGAAGCTAGCAGCCACATGGCCAAGGTGAAGAGCCTTAGGATGAAAGATTGCCTTGGTCCCCTTGTTGTGCGTCGCGTATGCCCGAGTGAAGGACGTGAAGGCGTCTCGGGCCAGCTCTGCAGGAGGGTCAGGGTTCGACTCATCATCATCATCATCATCATCATCATCATCATCATCATCATCATCCTCATCATCATCATCATCATCATCATCATCATCATCATCATCATCATCATCATCATCATCATCATCATCATCATCATCATCATCATCATCATCCGCAGCAGCAGCAGCAGCAGCAGCAGCATCGCTCAACTCACCTGCGGCCAGGGGGTCGGTAGCTACGATGTCCTCCAACGATCGTTGCCTGTCAGCAATTCAATCTCCTCCTCTCTCTGCCCCCCTTACTAGCTCAACTTCCTTCCTCTTGACTCAACTTCTCTCTCCCACGCTTCCACCTTGCCGCTTCCCCTTCCTCCCCCCTCCTCCTTGTTCGTTGCCCCTCGTCCTCCCTCCCCCAGCCACTTACAGGGAAAGGAACTTCTCGTCGTTTTCTCCTTTCTCGCATTTCTTCTTTACGACGGACTGTTCAAGTCGTCATCTCCTCTCTCGCTCCTTCCCCCTCTCCCCCCCCACCATCCCTCCTCTTTCTCTTCCTTTCCATCGTCATCATCGCACTATCGCTGCCCTTCACCACTCTCTCTTCCGCACTCTTTCATCTCGTCACCTGCAGCATCCATACCTCTCCCTCTCTTCCTCCCCCTCCTCCTCCTTCTCCTCCTCTCCTCCTCCTCTCCTCACTCACCAGCAGCGTGCGGGTCGGGATGGGACTCAGGCTCAGCCCGTGCTTGCCCAGGAGGGAAACATACTTCTCCTCGTGGGGCATCAGGAACAGGAGTGCATCTCCCTCAGTAGTCATCCTTGCTGTCCTCCCGCAGCGATGGACATACTCCTCCAGCTCCGTGGGCGGGTCGAACTGAACGATCCACTCGATCTTGGGGAAGTCCAGGCCCCGGGCCGCCACGTCAGTGCAGACGAGGATGGCGCGGGAGGAGGCGGTGAAGCCGTAGAAGCTCTTAGTCCTCTCGGCCTGCGTCATGTCTCCATGGAGACCGTAGATGGGGATGCTGAGCAGCGCTTTCAGCCCTCCATCCTCCTCCTCCTCCTCCTCGTCCGAGTCGCCCTCCTTGTTGGCGATGTCACCCTCGTCTCCCCTCCACTCGTCGGGAAGGACCGCGCGAGGGAGGAGGTAGTGAAGGAACTTGACCTCGGCGATGGAGGACACAAACACAATCATCTTACATGCTCTCGTGGAAGGAATCGATCGCTGCCGTAAAAAGGAGCACAGAGATAGAAGCCTCCTCTTGCAAGGGATCGACATCCAGTACTGCCGGAGCCGCGATGGCAGCTCGAACTTCTTGTTCTCCTCGTCCTCCCCTTCCCCTGCTTCCTCCTCCTTCCCTTCCTCTCCTGTCTCCGTCATCATGGCACCCGAGGACGAGTCGGTGACATAGACGGGGGACGAGAGCAGGGAGTGCGCAAACTGCCTGACCTTCTGCTGAAGGGTAGCTGAGACGAGGACGGTCTGCATCCTGGTCGGGCAGGACTTGTCGCGCTTCTCCCGCACGAAGTCGCAGATACAGTTGATATCCTGCTCGAACCCCATGTCCATCAACCGGTCCGCCTCGTCAAAGATCAGGAACTGCATCGACTTGACGTTGAAGCACTCGGTGGTCCTGACATGGTCCGACAGCCTCCCCGGCGTCCCCACCAGCACAGACAGCCCCTTCCGTATCCTCGCCTTCTCCGACTTCTTCTTCTCTCCTCCTATCAGCAACCCTGGCACCAGCCAATGGAACGGCCGCAGCAGGTTGCTGAGAACTTCGTGTACCTGCAGCCCGAGCTCACGGGTAGGGACAACGATGAGAGCGAAAGAGCCATCGGCTCTTGTAAGCCGCTCCTTCCTCGTCACCAACCACTCCACCACGGGCGTCAAGTACGCCAGCGTCTTCCCCGTCCCCGTCTTCGCCTTCATCATCACATCAGCCCCTCGTAGGATGGCAGGGACCGCCCCTCGCTGGATCAGCGTCATCCTCGAGGCGCTGAAGAGAGTCTTGAGGTTCTCCACCAGCTTCCCGTTCAGCTGTAAACTCTCGTCCTCGAAGAACTCTGCCGTGAACGTCTTGGAGTCTGAGATATTCGCCTTCGTCCCCTGCTGCGCCCTCACCTTAGCGGCGGTCTTGTTGGTGGTCTCACCCACGATCTTCACGGGAACAACGATCTTAACCCTCGAAGGGTCAGGCTTCCTCTCCCATGGCTTCGACCCGAAGTTCACGGCAGAGTTGTCAGCAGCAGAGGAGGAGGGAGAAGGTTTCGTTCTCCTGCTGACCGATTTCTTCTCCCTCTCCTCCTTCTTGGACTCTTGCTTCTCAACCTTCTTGGCTTTCCTCTCCTTCTTCTTCAGCTTCTTCCTCTCTACCTTGCTCCTGGGTCGAACCTTCGGTGTGCTTGTGCTCTTTGGCAAGCTCGACGACTTTGCGATGTTGAGCACGAAACCATCGTCGTCTGACATGGTCGCAGAGCCTTCGGCAACACAGACTGCGACTAACACGAGCAAGAGAGTTGTGGTCCGAGGTGAGCAAGACGCTCTGACAAGGTCGAGACAAGCTCGAAAGGGGAGCACAAATAAAAAACCAAGAAGTCCAGAAAAGAAACCAAAATCTTTCATACGACGATCATGCCATCCTGACTCCCTGCATCACTCATACATGCTCTGATAGCATCGTAACGGATATCTCATCTCCCAGTGACCGCGTACCGATATCCCTTCTGCCAACACCAAGGTCAACTTCTCACCATCATCATCTCTCCCTTCACAACACAACTTGTCTCTCTGTCTTCGTTGTCCCCATGTATAGAGTTACGACTCTTCGCCCCACCCTCCCCCCCTCCACATTTCCTCTCAATCTTCAAGCTTCTCAAGATCGAACAAGCAAGTGTCGTCCTGTCTTCATACCTATCCTGTACATCCCATCCTCTCTCCTTCGTCCCCTCTTTCCTCTCCTCCTCCTCCTCCCTCCC